CAGAGTTTGAGTCATATCAGTCCAGGTGCCGCACCAAAGTTTATCAGTCCTCCGAATGGTGAAACATCCCCCTGTAGTGAAACGCTCGTATTCAGCAGGTGGCATTGTAGTTTTCAAGGCGAGCATATCCTGGAGGTATAGATGACTGCATTTAGCATACAGATTGTAGCCACTGTCGTGAAAGAGAGAAATCATTCCATATATGGTTTGAAGGTGCTGCTTCTTTCTGCTTCAATAAAGTGCTTCATCAAAGTCACCATTTCGGAATATACAACCCATAGTTTGACAGTTGGGTCACGTGCTGCCAAAAATTGAAGCTTACTTTTGAATTCATCTTGTAGATCTTTCGCAAATTCATTCACATCATTGGAAAAAATCACTGGGCCATTGACTGAAACATTATTTTGGCCAAAGTTCTGTGGGCCAACACATAAGCTCGTACTGCCCTTGCGTATGCGTGGATGGTCATGATTTTTTCAGTTGAGTTAGCTGCCAATATTGTATCGAAAAGTTCAGTAAATCCACTTCCCTGCATAATGAAACCAATTGACCCCATAAACGACATCAGTAAATGGAATCCTCTTAGCCTTATTACAACATTTAAGAGAGCAGAGCATCATCCGGACGGCTAGCAAGAATGTCTCGCGCCTTGAAATAGGGAGGTTGGTCAAATGCTACTCCGGCCAACAATGCTGTGAATATTGTATCATATCCACTTGGAGGAGCATTGATAAATGGCTGATAGCTAATAAAAGTTACCTAATATCTTCCATAAATTCATTCTATCCAAAGATACCAAGAATGTCTATACTTTTTCCATAGAGCTACAGAAGATCAGGTACAGAGGGGATCGCAGTGTCACTCGATGTAAACATTTCATTAATACCATTTATCTTCAATTCAGCTAAGCCATTAGGTTTTGTTCTCTCAAAATGTTTCAGTTTAATTGCTCAATAACTTCCAGAAACCTCAGGAGACTGTGTTTCTCTGATCATTTTGAGTTTTAGGGCAATGCAGGAAATACCACCCATGACGTGAAACGTGCTGTATCCGTCGATCGTATGTACGTTAAAATCGGCGTTATCGTAAACGTGCTGTGAAAAGCACAGCTGATCAACTTTCAGTTGATCGCCCTTGATTGCTAATGCTTCCAGTAGTACAGCTTCTGTATAAGATGAACAAACCCCCAATGAAGACACTACGTCAGCTAATTTCCTTGAGCCGTACTTCTTGTAAAAGAACACTGCCAACCCTATCAAAACAGGCGAGATAAACGATCTAGGCTTTATCGCTGCAACAAGACTATACGCCATCGTTGTGCTCTTTTTCTTCCTAATATTATGGTCCCCACGTTTCTTGTTTAGTACAACTGTTTCCAAGAATGTACGGAGGGTTTCTGGATATCTTCAACAATAATTGCAGCAGCTGCCTTAACGATTCGGAGACTTTCCTCCTGTTCGTTTTTCATTGCCTGCAGGATGTCTATTCTCGAAACCGGGGAACAGCATTCTCACGAGAACGATTGCTCTGTCTTTCTCAGTGTTTTGGAAATATAAATGTGAATGACTAAGACAGAGCCTATGTTCTCATGAGAACACTTCTCCCCTGTTTCGAGAATAACGGCCCTGCTGGTAGCAAGCATTAGTCAAAATTTTATGTCTTGTGTTTTTGAAACATACTACCTGCGCCTTGTTTGGGGAAAAAGTGATTAGTATATCACTTCCATATTTTTTCAGTAGATGAGCTTTGACTGTTTTTTTTGTCAGGACAATAATCTCCTTTGATTTGATCAATCAACTGTTCGAACGAAAACTGGCACTCTCCATCACTATTCTCAAGATAACTGTAGACATCTTCCATTGCTGCTTCAACATCATTGGTGACTAGACCTCTTAGTCTCTTGTCTTGAATTTTTGGGCGATTCTACAGTTTTTTCATACATAAACTATGGTACTGAAAATCAGAGGCCACCAAGTCTGAGACAGGTAAAAGACGCTTGATTATGGCTTGTCCGTATTCATCACCGCGTTCTGATGCTCTTTTTATAATGGTTTCCTTGACCTTTAAAGTTCGAACATGATACACAATATTGCGATTGCTTTTCTTTTTTCTTTGTTGTTCTATAAACTCGGGGGTTATGAGGAGGCTAGTCATGAAGCAATGAGTTTTGGTAGAGAAATCAGTTGAACGTCTTTCAACCTGTTGCCTGCCTTGCTCCACCTTCTTCAAATGAGCGGCAAACATTCTTTCATTAGTATAATTCTTACGACAACGCTGCTGAACCACAACTTCTGTTTTTTTGCTTAGCTGAACATGCTGATCATCCCTCCTCTTCTTACTTGACTCAATAAACGTATTCAAACCTTTTTCCTGCACTGTTGTTGTGTTCTCTTCATCATTATCCATCACTGCATCACAAATAAAACACACAGGGGCATTTTTAACAGTAGGCGTAAGCAAACTTGTTAAATCGGTCGTTATCCTTGTATTCTAACTCTAACTCTAACCCTTCGGCAGTTGACCACTGTTTCTTTTGTTTGTGGCGGGTGTTGCGAGGCAGGGAGCTTCCGTCAATGTCAACCTGCCGTTGGGCAGGTATAAAATGATTTGAGAAGGCCGGAAAAAATGAAATAAATTGAACGTGTTTAGTAGTTTAAAACTAGGAGGAATTCACCAAACGAGCTTTTAATACTAAATTAAAGTTTTCTAGTGAAAAGGGTGGATTTTTGGAAAAACAAATCAAATACGACAATTTTCAACTAGCGCTTGAGCCCAAACGGTTCATCCACAAAAAATTAACAGATGTAGGGGAACCGGGTATAGAACGGGGTACCAGGGTAGAACGGGGTACCACGTTTCAAATTTTCGCGGGTTAGTGCAACGCTGCCAGCACTATACCCTAGGAATACGTTGACAACAAATTTGACCTTGTTGGTAGTCCTTCGAGAGCTGTTGCGCCAAATGCATCACTATAAGAAGATCCACTGTAAGAATTGACGAATTTGCGAACAACGGTGAATGTTCAATTTTACTAGCCGGTCATTTTGTGTAGTATAGGTAGAAAGCCCTTCTCTTAGGGTACCTTTTCCCCATAAAATTAAATTATTAGTTAAAACCCTTCAATTGTTTATGTAGTCACAATGGCGACGAATGCTCTTGGGGCAGAATGGGGAGAGGCAGAACTGGGTAAACCATGTCCCGCCCCACGTATATGTTGAACTACTAAACTTCATTGTAGATGTTGTTTAATGATGTAAACTGTTTTAAATACATTGTAGATGGTAGCTATAGAACTTACTTCATATTAAACGACATTTAACCATTATCATCCTGAATAAATTATTTTTTCTAGATGGTTCGAATATAAGTAAGAAAAACGGAACAACAATGATCTTCGGAGTCAATACATCAGTTAGGAGATAGAGTTAGAGATCAATAAAGACTATTGACTAAGTTTTAAACGTCTATTCTATTCTGTCTCAGATGTACCCCAATGTACCCCATAGGTGGGGCACAACGGGGAATTGTGCAAATTTTGTCATAAAAATAAATAACAAAATACAGAAAAGGAAATAATGAAATATTTTTGTAATAATCATTAGAAATAACATCAAATAAAGTTTCCAAGAAAAAGTTTGAGGATCTGTCGGTAAATTTTCTCAAAAAAAAATTTCAAACACTAAGTACCCCGTTCTACCCCGGGTTCCCCTAATTCATAGAAAATTTAATTTACTTCCATTTTGAGTAGAGGTGTTTTCTGCAAAAAATTGATAGTTTTCGAGTTATACGCAAAAGACTACCAAAACAAATTTTTTGCATTTTTTTCAATGTTGCGTCACGAAATTTTGTTAGCAAACCTCATATTCGGATTAAGCACCCCAAAAAAACATAAAGAATCCAGAAAATCAAAACTACTCCAAGCACAAATTTATTGTATCTATTATTTTATCTCGTTACAGTGTCGAATACTATTTTTCATGAAAATTTAATGAAAATTGGTCCAGCGATTCCTGAGCTATCATGGGCCGGACAGACATACAGACACACATATGGACAGACGTCACGACGAGATTGTTAAGATAGATGCAAATGATACATTTTCGGCGTTACCGTTTAGGTAAAGAAGTATCAAATATCTATTAAACCTTCTTCAAATTATATGCTAAAACTAAAGCATCAAATCGAATAACCAGCTTTTTTCCGTTTGTAATCTTTAATATGTCATTCAAAATAAAATGCACATTGCAAATTCCACAGCGTCCAATAATTCAAAACACAATGGGATTTGTGTCCAAAACATGCATTTATTGTAATAGATTCCTACTATATTTTATCTGAATGACTGGCTGAATTTGAAATCTGTTTCTGTATGGAAAAACGGATTTTGTTTTGTCTGGTACAAATTGAAAATAAAGGGCCTCATTATTACTGTTCTTAAGGGCGTTGTTTTTCATCATTATTACAAAAGTTATGTTCAGTCAGTGTAATTTTTTCAGTATAATACTGACTTAAGCCTCCGAAGCGTGATTTGAAAGTTTATTCAATATTAATAGTTTCAACTGATTAACAATATATTTATTGATAATATGCTGAAAAATAAAATAAGCCTTTCAAATGAAAACTCAGCAGATATAGGCGATATAACTAAATGCAATATCCGGTGGATTGAATAATCACCAAATGTAACGAACAATTTTTAAGTACTTCGACTTTGAATACATCTTTTTCAACATAAATATTTAAATATACAAATATTGAAGCTTCAACAACAGCCATCAACGAAACTTCGAAGTTTTAAAAACTGCTGCATATGTGCTCGGTTCAGTTGGAAAGGCTTTTGAAAATATACGCTGTCAACTCTCATAAATATTCGCTTTGCCAACAAAATAAGAAAAAAAAGTAAAGTCATTTTCATTTTTGCTAGCGCCGCTCACAAAAAAGTATATGTATTCGAAGTTTATCTATCTTCTGGCATAAGAAAATTAAAATTAAAAAATTACCTCGTTGACTCCCTTGACGATGGCCCTCATAGTAGCATTCCTAGGGCCGTCTACAGTTTTTCCATCATCGGTTGGTCCCCAGGAGGCGCTGTAGATGTCTATTAGGTTGGGCTCGTGGCCCATAGAGTTTGCCTCGATCAGATCGGTCATGTAAGGCTGGTCTAACATTCTAATTCCTGCAAAAGATATAAATTTGAAAATAACATCATGGAAACAAAGCAAGAGGATATTTAGAATGAAAGGAATATTATAATCGATAAATTGTATTGGTAAAAATGTTCAATGACATATCAGTAAATAAATTAAACTAGCACATCCACCTTAACTTATGGTCAATTAATATTGAAATTTGAATTGAAATATCTTGGCGGCGACCAGCCCTCCTCTCACAAAAGTGAGATGTCGAAAATCGTAACGGCGATCACTTCCTTGTGTGATGTTCAAGTGGGTTACGACCTGTCAAATGACTTCATACAGAAAAGGAGTGGGAGGAAGCTTCATAGATTCATACTTTTGTGATTTAAAAAAAGGAGTGAGCGGAGGGCTGGTCGCCGCCAAGATATTTCAATTCGAATTTCAATAATTAAATAATATTTATCTCAGAAACGTTTCCAATTCTTTATTTGAACGTTTTGAAGCCGTAACATAAGCATATTATTATTCGGTATTCAAGAACTATAGGCCTGGATGTAGTTTTGATTCGTTGTTGGAATTACTACAGAAAAAGAGGATATTATTATTGAAATAATTGTACAGAATACTATAGATATATGGAAACGATACATGTTTTTAAGAACTAAAAGGGTATGACGAACATAATAATACAGTTGGATCCAAAATTATATGATACATTATCAAAAAAAAAAGAAAAAAATACATATTGGTTGTTCATATTACTTTTATGATTGTAGAAAAGAATCACCTACTTGCCAAAAAAAGTTCAGGCCAACATAAAGGAACACTTATTGTCAAACCAATGAAGAATGATGTGTGAAATGTGAACATGTAGCGGATGTTTTGGTAATTCCGAATGTAGACTGTTATCACAAAGCATATGATAGAAATAATTGTGAGGCATACAAAAGAGTTGTTGAACAATCAACTATCCAGAAATATATTCGCACAGTATTAAAACAGCAATAAGTGGGATCAACTAATGTTCTTAACATGCCGGGGTTCACATCTAGTGGATACGGGCCTGGCGACCACGAGCTACCCGAGCTGAAGTATTCTTTCCTCCATCTAATCTTGCAAGTGCTTCCTCTTCATCTCTTACCTTTTCTATCAGGTCACCCCTGACCATCCTCTTTTATCAACACCTTAATAGAATTCAAATTAAAACTAAACTATCACCTCTTTGAAGAGCCTTTACTGAACACTGGGCGGCAGATGAATTGGAGAATGAGAAAAACGAGTCGAGAATTCGTTGAGATTTTGCGATTTAAATTTCCGACGACAACTGGCGTTAACTGGGAACTACCCTCTGGGTGCCGCTTTAGAAGCCTATTGGCTATCTATTAGTACCAGGGTTGAGAGTTGAGAAGATCGAAGATCTCCAACCCTCCTAATTTTCAGCGATTCGCTTTACATGATATAAAATTACAAATTGGACATTTAACATTTTCTCCTTCAATTGAAATTCTTTCCCCTTTTCCTAATTATTATGCCTTCTATTCTAATTTCCTAATTTCTAACCTAATCAAGTGAATCAAAAAGTTCCCTAATTTCTAACCTAATTAAGTGGGGGACTTAATTCCGCCAGGAAATCACTTCAATAGTTCTATGCCCAGAGATGTGGGCTTGTTGAAAATGGATTCCTTGAGGAAAATGGCTCCTCGGAAAAACAGCTGCTCGGAAAACCCTACGTAATAGAGGCATTCCGTGAATAACCATTACTTTAAAAAAATTAAAAAAGACTTACCACGAGGGGGTTCGAAATTCAAACTAAAAACAAACAGTAATCACAAGACTTTCGATTTAAATTTTTTCGGTAATAAATGGCTTATTGCCTTACGCAACTTTATTTTGTTAAAATAGTGCCTGATGACCGATAAGGTATTTTTCTTCACGAGAACGGTAATCACAGTTAAGGAAGATGGCTGCCCCCCCCGCCCCTTCTCCCCCGGCCAGAGTCAACCTTTCAGGGCAACGGCAAGAGTAAAAAGGGACGAAAAAACGGACAATCTCCACAGGCAGTATTTGAAAGAAAAAAGAACAAGTAAAAAACAAGTAACATAACGTCAGTCATATTTGGTACTCGACTATTGTATAGCATGGCGAATCCAGAATTGTAGCATTGGACATCTCTATAAGGCCTTTGATCAGATGTGCCACACAGGTCTACTCAGCAAACTTCCATCGTATGGTCTTCCGCATAAATTTGGCCATTGGCTGGGGAGCGCTTTGGAAGGAAGGTCACTGAATATTCTGGTCGATGATGTGTCTTCTGATACATCGCCTATAAATGCCGGTGTTTGCCAAAGTTCAGTTTTGTCCACAACACTGTTTCTCATTTTTATAAATGATTTGTTAAATGTGACAAGAAACTCCATATACAGCCTTGCCGATGATAGTAGCTTGATGGCATCTTTCTCTTCTGACAAACCGTTTACTGCAGCCACTTCACAATGCTACAGATTTACTCTTTCAACAGCGATCTTGACACCATTACCAACGGAGGCCTTAACAATCTCGTCAAATTCAATACTTCCAAAACAACAGTATTCTCAAATAAGAAATTTTCCGCCGATGATAACCCAATTTTAAGAATGTCGGGACAAAACCTTTTTATCAACCCCTCAGTATCTCTTCTTGGGGTGACTGCATGGACCAACTTAGCTTGGCATGACCATATATCTTCGATAGCCAAAACAGCTTCTCAAAAATTATGTTCTGTTTCGTGCAAAAAGCTTCTTTACTTCTGAACAACTTCTTCTTCTTCATAAGGCTCAAATCAGACCATGTATGGAATACTGTTCCTACATCTGGAGCGATGTTCCCAAGCATTCGCTTGATTTGTTGGCTCTATTAGATAATTAATCGTACACCGTATAAGCAACAGCCATATTTGAAGAGAGAACAAAAGTGGTCCAAAAGCGTGGTTAATTGTGATAAATTGAGTTGAGGATTTACAGGCAAATAGTTTACTAGTTTAATAGTGCAGTTGCAGTGTTCAAGGTAGGACGATTGAATCTACGTTTAATATAAAAAACATCATGCAATCCTGTGTAAAAATCGGTTAGTTCGGATTCATAAGGATCAAAATTGCTTGAATACTAAAACTAAACAAAAAGTTCAATCCGCTTGAAGCAAAAGTTTATTCCACCAGCAGTACACTTAATATGGAAATAACGGAAAATCTTAGTGAAGAACAAAAATCTTTATATAAACTTATTTTACTAGCGAATAATAAACAGACGGAAGAACTCTCAGCAAAATTCGAAAATACAATAATTAACATAAAGAAGGACGTTGAAAAAACCAACACAGAAATAGAAAAGTTGAAAACCAAACAGATCGAACAGGAAAGAAAAAGTCGCAAAAATAATGTGGTAATATTTGGTCTAAAAAATCAACCACAACAACAGACAGAACTACTTCAATACACACTACACTCAGTAAATGAACTGCTCAGCACAAATATTGCAGAAGAACACATAAACAGCGTAAACAAAATCGGTAAGCAAGAGAATCCACCTATAGTGCTTGAATTCATCTCTTATCTAAAGAAGATCACCTTGTTTGCAAACAAAGATAAATTAAAGGATCTCAAAGACAAAAAAATTGCTATTGCAAATGATCTATGCAGAGAAGATAGGGACGATAGTAAAACTTTAAGAAAACACTTCAAAATTGCTAAATCCCAAAACCATGATGTTAAAATACAGGGCCATAAATTAATTGTGAACAGCCACACATATACAGTTCAACAACTAAAAGATATTGAGGAAGAAGAGAGTCACAGTGATATAAGGGAAGAAGAACTGGAGACAGAAGAACAACCGGACGAAATAATAACTACCGAGACAGAAAAGAACGCGAAGAAAACAAATAATAAGCATAACGGAATTGAACAAATCCCGAATACAAGCAGCGCTACCCAACCGCTGGTGAAAAAGGTCTCGCCAGTTAAAAAACCTAAACGGAAAAGAATGAGAATCTCGTATAGTCCGAAGTACACGAGAAGCAGTCAGCAGAAGTAAATTGTCGTATTTAATCTAACATATATTTTCTCTCTCTTTTTTTTCTTCTTTTTTTTCTCTCTTTCATTCTTAATGTATAGTCTCCATTATTACAATTTGAAATTGGGTGTATAATTAATAATTATGGATAACTGAATATTATCTAATAATTTTTATTTATTTTTTCTTAATTGCTCTGTTTTTGCAACCAATGTTAGCAAAATGTGTAAGATTAATATTGCCCATCTAAATACTAGATCTCTAATAAACAGATTTGCCGAAACAAATTATTTAATAAATCAGTATGACTTTTTTGCAGTGACTGAAACCTGGCTTACTGATGCTATCCAACAAAATTTTGTAAATGTTTCTGACTATTTATTTTTTCGAAAGGACCGTAGTGATGGGAGGCGTGGAGGAGGTCTAGGCATGTACGTCAAGACCCATTTTAAATGTGAAGTCGTTAATTTACCTTTTAATAGTTCTTGTGGCACAGAATACCTCTGGCTAAAAGTAAAAATACATAGAAGCATTATAATAATTGGCGTAATATACCGGCCCCCTAATATCAATTTATTTAATTGTATTGAAACATTAGAAAAAAGTATGTCATTCCTGTTGCCGGAATGCATTTTTCCGTTTCCTATTTGGTTACTGCTACATGGAGCGGTAATCCTTTAGGACTTGTAAAATTATATATCTAGCATCGCGTTTCCTATTAGGCAAGCGCACATTGTCTACCGCTACATGGAGCGCTAATCATATAGGACTTGTTAAATTATATCTGACGTCGCGTTTCCTATTAGACCAGCGCACATAAATTAAATAACTACGCTCATGTTGCCAACCATGCTGTTACATGACTTTTGACATTGGGTTGGGTAATAATTAATAAAACAACTTGCAGGGTTTAACTTTTTTTGTAGCAGCCAAATTCTTTCCAGCAGTAATAAAAAAAAAATTATGAAAAACTTTTTCATAGTTGCA